GGCCGGAAGCGGCCACTGCACTCCAGTCTGGGCGACAGAGTGAGACTCCAGCTCAAAAAATAAATAAATAAATAAATAAAAATAAAAAAATAAAAGTGAAACATAATATTATACCATGCTAAGGACATAAGCACAATGGCAAGTACAAATCACAGGCTTCAACTCCTTCATAAAGATATGTACTTAAGAAAATACTTACCACATTGCCTGTGTGAGAACTCAAAAAACAGCTAAGACTTTGCAAAATCCATAGTGAGCACAATGTTAAAATGAGTTACATGGAAGAGGAAGTTTAGTAATTTCCCCCACATAATCTCCCTTCACAGTACAGCATGATGCAATCACACAAGATGTTCTAACTCTTGAATTCATCCTCAGGGAATAAACAGAACAGTAGAGCATGAGTCCACACTTCTGCCCTTTGGGGGTTTACCCAAAGGCTGGTTTCTGTCCCAATTTACAGAGAAGACACATCCTAAGAACAGGTATGACAGTCTCCTAGAATCTCTTAGTGATTAGTGTCAATTAGTCTAGACAATGCAACTTTATAAACATTGTGACATGTACATCTTTGAATTTCAAATACCCCAATTCAATCAAAGTATGCCAAAGCATAGAAAGAATCAGGATAAATGACTCAATTAAAGGCACAATGATAATTTGTGGAGCTGCATATTACAAAACAATCTGAGAAATTTTCTAATAAAATGAAGAAAAATAGGAAAATCAACAACTTTATTGAACTCAAATTAGGATAAACACACACACAGTCAGACAAGTCATTATCAAAGTTTTGTGCTAACTGTAATCATAGTACTGAGGATACTGAAGGGGAGTGATCAGCTGAGCCAAGGAGCTTAAGGCTGTAGTGAGCCTTAATTGAGCCACCACACTCCTGCCTGGGTGATAGAGAACATGGCTGATAAAACAAAACCATGAAAAGGATTTTGACAACATCCTGGATACTGATATTGGTCTCAGTAATAATTTTTTTTTGACTACAGGAATAAAAGTAAATATAAACAAGTTGGAGACATCAAACTGAAAAGCTTCTGCATTGTAAAGGGAAAAAAAGAAGGCTTACAGGACAAGAGAAAATATCTGCAAACCAGTCAGGCTCAGTGGCTCAGCCTGTAATCCCATGCCTTGGGAGGCTGAGGTGAGTGGATTGCCTGAGCCTGTGGGTTCAAGACCCGCCTGGGCAACTTGGTGAGACCTCATCTCTACAATAAATCAAATAATTAACTGGGTGTGGTAGCACACACCTGTAGTTCCAGCTACTTGGAA